GCTGAGGGACAGGGGTCAGTGGTGGGCTGGGCAGTGCTGGGGTAACGGTTGGACTGGGTGGGCTTAAAGGGCTTTTCCAACCTAAAGACTCCATGATTCCATTCTGAGTCCAAGCAGCAGTTCCACGGTTGAGCTGACTTCTGCTCTGTACGGCTGTGCTCACTCTTGCCGGTGAGCTCCTGTGATGTATTTTCATTTTTGTGCATGGAAACTGCCTGCAGAAATCAGATATCACATTACGTAAACTCGGGGTAAAAATTCAAACGCATACGAGCAGTGAGACATCTGGATCTAATTGGGCTCCTCCGGGACAGGAGCATGTAGCTTTACCCTGAAGAGAAGCAAAGAGTGAGCAGAAGTAATTTTTCATCCCAATTCCCACCCGCGCAGAGGGGCCGAGTCCCTGCAAACGCCTCCGTCACCCTGTCCTTGGCAAAGGTGGCCTGTTGGGTGCCGCACGGGCCGACCCTGCTTCGCTGTTGTTGCAGTCGCCGACACAGAAGGAATCCGCTGCAATACAGCCCAGGGGTGAAAGTGAATGTCCTGAGAAAACTGTGACTAACCGAACCTTGGCACGTGGAACCAAGTCTCCTGTATGGAGAGCTGAACCGGCGTCCTTCACCACCAGCCACTTTTCCTTCGTTTGCTGTCAATTCAGAGACTTGCGGGCACTCGGGCAGCTGCCGGGAGCTGCCGCGGCAGAGACAAATCCACCCCGGCTTCCCCACGAGCAGTCGTCTGTAGCCGCCTCCTCTCCCGCACAGGCTCCAAGTCCCGTGAGCCGCACGGGCGGAGGCCGCACAGGCACAGATTGTCATGGGGGAAGGGTATCAGCAGGGTGGGGAACAGCTCAGGCTCCGCTTGTAGGCGCAGCAGAAAGGACACTTGGATGGAGTGCAGCGGAGAGCAAGCCACGAGAGCGCAGAAGGCTTCCATCTCCTCCTGGATAGCCGGGATAGGGGAATTCAGGAGAAGAGCGCCGTGTGCCGCCAGCACCGTTGGCACCGGTTACAGGCAAGAGAGCAGTTAACACACGGAACTGGGCTGGAAAGCGCCCGGTTCCCGCAGAAGGAGCCCAGGACTGACCCTCTTTAAGAGGCCAACCACAAACTATGGGGTCACTTGTTCACGCAACACTTAAAAGGCAAATTAGAGCAGCCAAAGTGTTTTTCCCTGCTAATCCCAGCTTTCTGGAAAGCCCCCCCCGCCCCCCGCCAAGCGAAGCGCCGGGCTCGCAGGCATGGAAAACACAGCTCTCCCGAGCTCGGGCACAACCTTCCCCAGGCCAGCAGCCTAATCCCAGCTTTCCGGAAAGCCCCCCCCGCCCCCCGCCAAGCGAAGCGCCGGGCTCGCAGGCATGGAAAACACGGCTCTCCTGAGCTCGGGCACAACCTTCCCCGGGCCAGCAGCGCTGGGCGACAATGCTGCGCACACCAAGGGCCGACGGGCTGTCTGCAGCCACGGGTCCTGCCCGCACATCCGCTCAGCACCGCCCGCCCCGGGCAGCATCTCCTCTCCCCGGCTTCAGCACTCGTGAGCATCTCCTTTCTCGTGTGCACCCCAAGTCTGCTCTAGATCGTTCCGCTGAGCAGCCATGAGGGCGCCGACACAACGTGCAAAACGTGTCACCTGCCATTCCAGCTGGGCTTTATAATCAGTCACAGCCAAGCTCTACGGTGCAAAAGTAAATTCTCCCGTCTCTCAGCAGAGTGCACAATCACCCATTTACGTCGTTTAGTAGGGGACTGGGAGACCAAATGTTGCCCTGCCCTGTGTCCCTGCAGAAGAAGCTGTCAAGGAGATTTAGGCTTCGCCCTTCAAGTGCTCAGAAGAAAGGAGACTCCCCAGAAGAATTCGGAAGGTTCCTTGCTGACTCCATCTGCCCTTTCCCGGCCCCACGGCTGGCGCTTCCAGACCAATCCATTTGCCAAAAGGCATAGGAGGGTCCGTGCTAACCCTGACACGCAAGATGGAAATGGGAGTCCTGTGTTAGAGCCCCAAATACTCAATTTTCTCCACTAAACCAAGCGCAAACCTCCTCTGCAGGTTAACGAGGGAAGAGTGAGTCGGCTCTGCGCTGCCGTCTGTCTCCCAGCCCGGCACCACGTGCTCTTGGGAAAGAGGGGTTAACCTCTAATCTGCAGGTGGAGGACTGAAATCCCTATTTGCCGGTAAAAATACTGGCAGAAAAGCAGAAGGGAGGTTTCACGGCTGCGATTCGCCTGAATAGACGGGGAGGCAGATGAGGGGACGGAGCAGAGACCTGACAACAGCGGTGCAAAGCAGCGGGGTTTGGGCTCACGGCCCTGCAGCTTCTCCGCTGCGAGTGTCAGCGTGGCCGGGGCTGGGCTTAAGTCCCCCCAGACAGCTCACGAGGGGGGCACGCGGTTGCTGCCACCCGGAGAAAGGCTGGAAGCAAGGATTTATACGAGAGGCTCCAGGTTTCACTGCCAACCCCCGGATCCAGCCACACATCGTTTCTGACAGAGATCTGGGGGGAGGGAGCCACCCACTCGCAGCGTGGGGTACCCACATCACACACATTCACTGCGATACACCTTGCGCCTACGTAACGCATAGGGGCTGGAACGTAGGGAACTGGGTTTGATGGGCAACTCAGGTTTGATCTAGGGGGTTTTCCCCCTTTTCTGCCCTGAGGGCAGACACCACAGTGGGATTCTGGATTTCTTAAGATGTACTTTCTGAAGCGATGGCACGGCTTCCCTGGCAGCAGCACCCGCCTGCTGCGCTCCGCACTTGTGCTGGTGCCGGGAGGTCTTCCTGTCCCTCAGCAGATGGGCAGTGGGAGGAATCAGCGGCTCTGCAGTGGGGGAAGAGGTGCAGGAGCGAGTCCCACAGGAGCCTGGCCGCACGGGCAGCGTGCTGCCCCGGCACACAGCGGTTTCAGTGGCAGCCGTTCCACACTGGGAACAGGAACCCCTGTTGCTGCAGCTGGCAGCCAGACCCCAAGCACCAGCACTGCTTCCTCAGCCGGACGACACGGGGTTGGTCCACGTAATCTCCTGGTGTTCTGCGCTCCTGAGCGGAATCCCTCCAACACACCGGCCCTGGTTGGTCCAAAACCCGAGCACAGGGTGGAGAGGGCTGCGGTGGAAGCGGCACAGCTGTGGCGTTCCCCCAGACCACTGCGCCGCGTGTCCCCCAGGCAAGGCTGTCAGTAGAGCCGGGCTGCAGGAGCCGGCGGGGCGGGAGCTCTGCTTCCCAAGCCGGCACCATCCAGCACCAGGGCGCGGGCAGGCAACGAGCGGCAACAGGCTGCGCGGGTGGTCGGTTTCGGTACGCTCCACGCCGAAGCGGCGCTGCCAGCCACAGCGGTAAGGCAGACGGAGCAGGGAAGTCTGCCAGACGGGACATCTCACCTCTGTGAGGGAAAGGAGACAGCTTTTTGCCAGCACAACCTCAGATGCGGCGCTGGCAGCGTCCTGGTTCGGGCGGGATGTTTCGCATTCCTGACCTGCCCAGGGACACAGCCCGCACTGCAGGGGCAGGGGGCAGTGCCAGCCCTGCACCGCTGAGCCCCGCCGGGCAGAGGGCGAGACGGGGTACGGAAGTTGCAGGGATGTGGGCGACGAGGACAAGCAAACCAAAAGGGAAGGTCACCTAAACTCATTCCCACTAACACAACTCGTTTTATTAACAGGGCTTAAGCCATGACAGCCTGGAGATGGAGAGAATAAACCAACAGGCTCTTGTGGATTTACCTGGGGTTATTTCCCAGAGTCCCCGCGTTACCGCAGGGTGGGCCAGGGCAGGGGAGCAGGAACACGGCCCAGCTCCCAGGGGATGGCTTCCAGGAAAAGGGCAGCTGCAGAGCGTTGATGTCCCACAGCTACAACCCTTTCCACAGTGACCCTCTCTGTGTCCTTGGCTAAGATCCTCTACATTAATGCCTGCAAATCTGACTGTTCCAAGGACCCTACTACCCACGTTCAGCCAAACAAGAGCTCACCAAAACAAGCTTTTGTTCTTCAAAAGGGAGCCCATCGCGATGTAAGAAAATGAAAGAGCACTGACCAGCAATTGTAGCCCGTACCGCTTTAATATCCTGCAACGCCTGCTACTGCTCATTTCGGTGTGGAGGGTTTGGTGTGGGACTTTTCTTCTACAGAAGGAAAACGGAAATCAATTTACATAATTTGTTTTGGAAGGGAAAAATCCACATAAGCAAAAACTACTCAGCCTGAATACGCAGTCAGCGCTTATTCAGCGACATCACGCTAAAAAGACTGTGTAGTGACAAGGATAAAGGATTTGTGCTTCTCTTCCAGGAAGGCTTCCAAGACAGAAAAAAGGCTCTGTAGTATTGAAGAATTGAGTCTCTTTGTGATTTCTAGAGCCTTTTGTTTAAGAAAACCCAAAAAAATAAGTACATATGCTAAAGGGAAAGGCCGTGCTAAGGAGCACCATAGGCAAATGGCCAGCAGGGCTGCGGGAGGCAGGAAAGCAGCACAGCAACGTGCACACCAAGTGCTGACAGGGGCAGGGTTTATTCTCTATCCTTCCCAGTTCCGTAGTGTTCTTAAATACAGAGAGGAAATTCACACTGCTCTTCAGGGACAGACTGGACGACAGAAGGGGAGGCTGTGCACTCCAGCTCGGTGGCTGACCAAACCTTTACGTTATGACGGTCGGACCGGTGCGGCCGGTTCTTTCATGAAGCTGTGAAAGTTTCAGTGCAATAGAAATGAGAGGAGCCAACATGACCTGCGGAAAGGAAAGAGACGGCTCAGAGGCATGAAGCTCATGCACGTCGCGGCCACCCTTCCCGTCGCAGGCAGCTGGCGTCAGCCCGGGATGCCCAAAGCCCGGCCCCGCGGACCAAGGGCCCGTTTCAGGTTCCCAACAGAAGCTGTGGGACCAGCGAGAGGAACGGCGCAGTGAGGGATGCAGCGTTACGACCGCGTGCAGGTTCGGCACTGCTGCCACCTTTGTCGTGCCGTGCTCCAAACTCAGCGGCACCAACGGCACAGAGCAGCTAAAGCGGGAGTTTATTCTCCAGTCTTTTTAATAACGGCATAGGAAATCATGCAAAAAAAGTTCAAAGGCTTTTTGCTGTGGAATATAAAATAAGGATGATTCTTCCTTCCAGTGCCTACATGCGAGGCCAACAGCATTTTTAAATGATGCTGTAATAGACTGAGTTACAGGTCAGTGTCATCTTACTGACTGCATCCTTTTATCCACAGTTTATCTCTTTTGAACAAGTATTCCCTAAATTGAGTGTAGGAATGAGGTCGTTACATCCCCAGTGACGCAACATTTTGACTAGAAGGTCAGTTCAGGACTGGAACGGTGTCTCCCACACCTGCAGCCAGCCACAGACGTAACACAAACCAACGGGAAATCCTCAGAGCGACAGCAAGAGCAGCTGGGAGGGATCCTGAGTATGTAACACTTGTTCCACCCAGAGATTTTTTTTTCCTTAACCAAATCTGTTTATACCAGGATTAAAGATACCAAAGCCCTCGCTTCCAAAACGCCCAGCACCTCCGCATACCGCTAGGCAACGTGCTGCTAAGCAAAGATTTGAGTTTTTTCGGAAGGTTGGGGGCCAGTGGTGCCGTGACCACGGTGCAATGCTCACCTGCGGGTCTTCGTGTATCTTCTGAGCATCCTTCTCGTAGCTGTCGATGTAGAGCCGCACAGTCGCTCCCGCGCTGCCGGTGCCGCTTAGCCTGAAGATGATGCGGGAGCCATCCGAGAAGATGAGCCGCAGGCCCTGGTGAGAGAGAAGGGGAGGAGAAGACTCTCAGCTACACGACTCCTGGGTCCCCAAGGTATCTTCCACGTGTGCCCGATCTGCACGATACATGCGTTGCTCCTCTTTACAGAGCCACGGAAAGCTGCTGTTACCCTCTCCCTGCTCCCTGCTCCCAGAGGAGCCAGTGTCCCACCTAACCCACTCTGGAGAACTTGCCAGAGCTCCTGAACACGGAGCACGTGGCTGCTGTAAGGTCCCTTGCCCCAGCGCTTGCTTGGAAACAAGAGCCGATTCCCTGTCAGACACAGCGTTACCAACCCACTGCTCTTCCATGGAAACAGGACGTAAAGAAAACATTCCTGTTTTCCCATAGGCAATCATTCCTGCAGGATTTCTCTATTACTCCTTCCCACCCAGTGTGCTCCCACATTCTGCTGTCAAGCCAATCCATCCACCAGACATTTTTATTCCAATAATCTCTGATGACAGGTGACTCCTCTCACGTGTATTTAATACCCCCGTGACCTCTGGAGCCTGGAACTCAATCCCCCGCCGCAGCCGCTCCCAGTCCCCCGCTGCCTGCCCTCGTAGGGCCGAGCAGAAGTGCCATCCCAGCATACCTAGGGAGGGTTCACCCGCTGTGACCTGGGGGCCTAGTGCTGAGACAAGGCGACACCGAACGGGAGGACTCATGCCTCGGGCTCCAGAGGGGCTTCAGCCCTTCCTTCAGCACAAACCCTTTCTCAGCTGCTGGCCCATCGCCCAAAGGATCCCCCTCAGCTCAGCTCCCTCGCTCCTGCCCTCCGGGGTGGCTGTGGGCGCCTCAAGTCCCAGTGGGGCTGGCACAGCCCCCAGGCCCCTCCCTCCCCAACCTCACGCAGGGCGGGATCCCCCCAGCAAACACAGGGCAGAGAAAGTCTTCCAAGGGACAAAGTTGGTGCAAATGCAACGGGTGAAGGCTAAGCCCAAAACACACAGCGCGACACCCCTCTGAGGTGATGTTCAGCCCAGGCGAGGCTCTGCCCACCTGGTTTCTGGAGACGCTCCCATCCACCGGGTCGTTGTACTCGAAATTATCAGCTTTCTCGACCGTGTAGACTTTGTCACCACATGACAGCTGCTTCCCCACAAAGGAGCGGTCAAACATCACCGTCTCCAAATCCTTCATCATTTTGTTGGCTGCATCGGCGTCCACCTCTTCGTAGTCGTACCTACAACCAGGCACCACAAGCAGAGGTGAGGAGGGGAGGTTGTCATGAGCAGCGATGCGCTGAGATGCCCTTGTTTAAACACCGCAGTCTGCCCCGTCCATGTGGAAGGAAGGAAGGGAAGGAAAATCTGTGTGGTGCAACGTAGCTGTGACCCAGTACAGGCCCGTGGGATACACTGCTGCATATCACAGGCTTTCATAGGATCATGGAACGGTTTGGGTTGGGAGGGACTTTAAAGTCCATCCCATTCCAACCCCCCTGCCATGGGCAGGGCCACCTTCCACTAGACCAGGTTGCTCCAAGCCTCATCCAGCCTGGCCTTGAAGACATCCAGGGATGGGGCATCCACAGCTTCTCTGGGCAACCTGTCCCAGTGTTCTCCACCCTTTCTGGGAAGAATTTCTTCCTGACGTCCCATCTCAATCTCCCTCTTTCAGTTTAAACCCGTTACCCCTTGTCCTGTCACTCCCTGCCCTTGGGAAAAGTCCCCCCCAGCTTCCTTGTATCCCCCCAGGCACTGGACGCTGCGGCAGTAGGACAGAAACAGCAAGCCCTCGGAGGCAGGAAGGGCCCTGGAGGCCGAGGTAAGTGCGAGGTGTCGGGAGCGCTTTCCCCACCTGGTGAAGAAGTTCCTGCCGTACTTCTGCCAGTGATCCTTCATGATGTCCTCCACGCTCTGCTTGCGGGCGGCGAGGATGGAGAGCCAGGCCAGGACAGCCCACAGCCCGTCCTTCTCGCGGATGTGGTCGGAGCCTGCGGAGAGCCACAGCACACACGTCTCCCACCTCCTCTCACGCGAGAGCCTGTGCTCCGGCCCTACCTTGTCTCCTCTCCTCCATCCAGCTGGCAGCCGTACGAGCTCACAAATGGAAGGCATTTCACGACCTCGATCCCTGCCGTATTGTTAAAACGGTTCAAGATATCATCTGCTTCCAACCACAGCCCAAATAAAACATTCGGCCCCTTTTAACACACACACACGCTCGTTGTTCATGGATCCTTAATTCTGTTTCCAAGGAAGTAATGGGGAATGCGCGGCAGAAAAAAGGCAAATGCAACGGAACAGCTCAGGAAGGACCGACACCAACCCCTTCCAGCAGCTGTCACATACCCTCTGCCAAATCAGCGTGCCCTGAGCAGCACAAACTCTGGCTGAGCACCAAGAAAAATGTCAGTCCTCGCTGAGGAAGCCAAACCCTAACAACTCCGAAATTACACTGCCACGGGGAGAGGAGCAGCAAACAGCGGCAGGAGGAGGGACTCTGCTCACGTGCGGGTGCCAGCAAGGCACCTCGCGCCCGCTCGCCGGCACCGCAAGGCTTCGGAGACCCTGCTTTGGGTAGAGGGGGACCCTCCAACGCAGAGAGAGGACGCGGCCAGCCCAGCCTCGCCCCGGCAGGACGCTGGGCAGGGCCCCAGAGCAGCGTGACAGGGACTGCACAGCGCCCAGGCCCTCGGGAAACCCGAGAGGGTGCTGCAACTTGGACAGCACCCTGGACACCCAAATTAAACGAGGGGTCAAATGGCAGCCCAGAATACACCCAGGCTCCGCGCTTCTGGTCTGCGCGTTCAGCGCTGTGCCCCAGATGCACAGGTTTATCTGGAAAACCTCCAAACAGGTATTAATGAAATCCCAAGGAGCCGGGCTAGGCCTGCTGATGCAGAGAGCACCGGAGGGCCATTTTACCCTCTCAAGAACCGCCAGCGCGGACAATCGTCTGGGGAAACAGGCTGGGGGCTGGGGCACGGGTTACGTGGCGCTTTGCACAAATCCCGCTATTGTAGACGCAGCGATAAATTATCCTCCCGGTCCTTCACAGCAGAGAGAGCTGTGCAGGGGTGATGGAGAGGAATGCTAAATAAACACGTCCCATGTGATGTATCAACTTCCTGCTGGAATAAAATACCCAAGAAAGCAAGCAGGAATTCTGTCATGTCGCATTACTCTAATTGCTCCTGGACTCTGGTCCCACCGGGTCACAGTTTGTTTCAATTTTTACTGGGTCTATTTGGCTGCTCCTTCACCTCTCTCCCCTTCAGCACTCACATTTTCTCCGGCTCCAAACAACTCCTCATTAACTTGCTATCAACCAACCTCCCTTGCCCCCTTCCATTCCTTAAAGTGCATTTGTGGGACGGACAAACCCCTTTTGCATTGCAGGGGGCGTCCAACACTCCTGGGCCCTTCCTTAACCTGTGTCCCCCCCACCCCGCAAACTGCTTCGGTCCCTGGCCACGCAGACGTGATGCTGCGTGGCTGCGATCTCAAACCCCTCCCTCAGCCCCCCCTGCAAACAGAATCCGTCACTTTTATTTGTCACATAGGGTCACTTACCCACCGGGGGATGGAGACAAACTGCGAGCTCACTGCTCGTGCAGTAAAAGATGGAAACGATTTCAGAGCCGCTCATTAGGGACCATCCCCTATCAGCAGCTCCATGAATCATTTGCTGCTTTTTGGGTTTATTTATTTGCTGAAACGCCGGTGCCCTCTCGTTAGCCAAAGTGCGGGACGTACACTTAACGCATGCTGAAATCATTCAGGGCAGACCTCCAAAATCCTTCTTTACTCGCGATCCACTCCAAGATTTCTTCACAGTGATACCCCATTTTCTGAAATCCCCCTTTCCTTCCAAGCTGAGGCCAAATCCCCTGAATCAGAGCAGCATTCAACTGCGACAAGATTGCCACTGAAGGCCGCTCCTGCCCCACAGCAAAGCGCTGTCAACCAGCCGGTGCCGGCATCTCCTCAGCTACAGCAACGCCGGGGTAACCCCTTCACGCCACGCTGTGCACCCCAGTTCCACAGAGCACTTCGCTGCAGGCGTCTGGGGATTGAAGGCCAACCCTGCTCTGCGAGACACCCACGCGCAGGCTAAAATGGGCTGAAATATGGGCTGAAAACACACAAGGTTTGAGCCCAAAATCATCTGACCGAAATTCCCTTGAGACCCTGTGCCTTGCGTATCCTACCAGCTGCCCCCGGCCCGCAGCGCCCTGCAGGGAACAGCAGAAACAAGATCCCGGCGAGAATTCCGACCAGATAAAACTCAGCCTTTGGGCATGAACTGGGTGCTGACCCCCTACCTGCAGGGAAGGGCCCGTTTGCACGGCCAGGC